ACTTTTATGCATGCAAAAACCCAACCATATATTGCAAAAATAGCAGGAGGCTGGAAATGGGGAACAGAGATTAGAGATGATGTTAAAAGTCTGCAGTTATGAGGTTAAACTAGCATTGACCTCTGACATGCACAGGCCCCACTTCTGATTGCCATGTCATATGCAAGGTGACAGGACTCATTTCCTGAGACCCTCAGGGGACCTCAAGTGACATCCACCAGGCCACCTTCCAGGATATGACATGAGTCCATGGACACTGCCAGGGCCTCTGCCTCCTGGGTTCCTGAACACCCAGCTCTCAAAGAAAATGTCTCCCCCAGGCAGCTTTTGTTATTTTGGGTGGTGAGGTATAAGTTCAGTAAGGCGCTCTGGGTAAAAGACAAAGTCTGCTTTCCTCCAGAAAGGCGGTTTCAAGAAATTACATTTTCAAAGGCGTGTTTAGTCACTAAGTCAGGTCCAACTCTTTGTGACCCCAAGGACGACAGCACACCAGGCTTCCCTGTCCATCACCATCTCCTGGAGTTTACTCAAACACATGTCCATTGAGCTAGTGATGCCATCCAACCATCTCATCCTCTGTCACCCCCTTCTCTTGTCTTCAATCTTTCCCAGCATCAGAGTGCTTTCCAATGAGTCAGCTCTTCCTATCAGGTGGCCAGAGTATTGGCGCTTCAGCTTCAGCATCAGTCCTTCAAATGAATATTCAAAGGAAGAAATTAGTTATTCTGTAGGGGCAAGGCATTTTGGTGCCTGTTAGCTCTGAAGGAGATGAGGAAGGAGGGAAAAGTGGAGAGACCTAGAGGCTCCCTCCTCACCCTACACCCCAGGCAATCAGGAGGCTGGAGAGCCATCTCTCCTCTGCTCACCACCATCAGCAGAGGGAGGAAACATGCCCCACATTCTCCAGGAGACACACACCCGCACACATGTGGACATCAGCTTAGTGTCCATGTGAAAATCACAGATCCCTGGGTGCAAAGGGGGACTTCGGGAACGGTCCGCTCACTGCTTCCCAATAGGAATGGAATGTGGGCCACACATGGCACTTTACATTTCCTAATAGCCATAGTAAAAAATTAAATAAATTCATAAAAAGGAACAGGTGAAATTAATTTTCATATATGATTGAACCCAATATATAAAAATATTATCACCTTAGTATGCAATCAATGTAAAAGTTATTGAGATATTTTACATTCTTCTTTTTAATATACTGAGTTTTTGTGTATTTTATACTCAAAGTTCATCGGAATTTGGACTCAGCCACGTTGCAAATGCTTAATGGCCACAATCGGCCAACGGCCACCAAACAGGACAACACGGAGCTCGTTGGTCCATCTGGGTTGCCAAGTGTCTTCCCCAGCAAACCCCAACCGCAATGAATCAACTGGCTCCCTTCTACCCAAGTGTGGTCATAGGGTAGCAATAATATCACCTATAGCAGGAGCCCCCCATCTCCCGGACCTAATGCCTGATGTGGAACTGATGTAATAATAACAGAAATAAAGAGCACAATAAGTGTAATGCCCTTGAATCATCCCAAAACCACCCTTCACTCAGTCTGTGGAAAAACCATCTTCCACAAAACTGGTCCCTGGTACCAAAAAGGTTGGGGACCACTGACCTGAGCTCACTAGAAATGCGGAACCTCAGACCCCATCCAGAACCTATGTAAATCAGAAGTCAACTGTTAACACTCTCCCCAGGCAATTCTTTTGCACAAGAAACTAAGAAGCCAGTTGCCTCCTCTTAAATACTTCCAGTGGCAGGGGACTCACTAGCCCATCCCCAAGGAAGTCCATGCCATCTTTAACTGGTTCTAATTATTAGAAAAGCATTTATCCTTCCTTTATTGAGCACTCTCTAGGAACCGGGCACTATGCTCAGTCCATCACATAAATTGTCTCATTTACGCCCAGTACTGTTCAGTAAGATGAGGGCTAACTTTGATTCTTTATGTAGATGGAAAAACAGAGGCCCCACAAATCCAAATAACTACCCCAGGTCTCTTCACTAATCAGTCTGTCTCAGGACCTGTTTTCTTTGTCAGAGCCTTCTATCTCACTACCCCGGGGACTCCCTGGACCTGCCTGCTCACCTGCAGTCTACCTAGAGGCGGTCTGGAGCTCAGGAGACTTTTCCATCCTCAAAGTAAAGGAAGGTGCTGTTGGTACTCAAGACAGTCTTCAGTACTGTGGCTTTATATTTTTGTGGGTTTCATTTATCACCAACTTCATTTCTTTTCTTTCGATATTGCTTTTATTATGTGAATAAACTCTGTTGGTACCTACATAATCAGGATTTCCTTTCCTCGTAAAAGTTTAGAACAAGTATAGAAATGGACAACTGAGCAAATAGGCAGAAATTAATAAAAGTCATATGATGTCATTAGATAGCTCAAAGGTTCCTGGTTTCCAATTACATAAGGTACACGGTTAGAGCAATTACGTAAAGTACACATATTTTGTGAGGGACCCCAATTATACAAGATTCACAGATGGGCACTGCACTAGAGAAGGTAGTGAACTTGCCACAAAATACCATGAGGTAGCAAGCACGATGCAAGTGTGATCAGATAAGAAGTGGAGAGCAGTGAGCCAGCAGTGAAGGAGTTTTACTTCTTAACTATTGTGGGTTGGTAAACCCTCCGAACTAGAAGAGCATTTCTTTTCATCCATCTTTCCACTAAAGGCCAGAGTTGCTTCCCATGTGGCACTAATGGTAAAGAACCCACCTGCCAATTCAGGAGACATAAGAGATAGGAGTTTGATCCCTGGGTCAGGAAGATCCCCTGGAGAATGGCACAGCAACCCACTCCAGTATTCTTGCCTGGAGAATCCCATGGACAGAGTAGTCTGGTGGGCTATAGTTCATAGCATCGCAAAGAGTCAAACACGACTGAAGTGACTTAGCACAGCATAGCACAGTACAGCTGACTGCACAATACAGACTGAACGCTGATATGAAACTTATGCTGTTGTTTTGGAATAAATTATATTCTGAATTCAAAACAAAAGTCATTTGTCTTAAATAATCATGGAAATCATTGGAAAAGACACTGCAATTTAAGGGAAGGAATTTAACACTTTTTAAATGACTACCATATTCTTCAACAGTCCAGGAAATCAAGAATCACTGTGTTTGAGAAAGAGTCGGGCATGGAACTAGTGTGTGTGTGTGTGTATGTGTGTGTGTGTGGTTGGGAGTGTGACAAATAAAAAAGAAGAAGGAGGAATTAGAATCAAAGGATATTAAGTGGCATTAACCAGAGACCCTATACATCAAATCTACATAAATGAAATACTTTTCTGCCTATCTGTTTTCACAGCACATGAAATGCCTGGCTGATTTTCTCCAAATTTAGAAAGTACATTTTGGGTGGCTAAACAAGATAGCTGCTATATTGCACACATGACATTCACTTAGGGAGTTACAAGATATCCTGGAGAAACAGACAGTCATCCCCTTGAGCAGCTGATAGTATCTATCAGTTGATTAAGAAATACATCAAGATGCCACAAACAGAAAATAAACAGCAGTTTCAAACACGAGCCCTGATTTAGAGACCTAATGGCAGACAATCTGAACTGCAGCCCATGATTTATGATTTAGATCCTCTGACATGGGCATTTCTACATGCCTGCAGGCACGGGTTGATTTAAAGATGGTTAATGATTGTCCAGGGGCTTCCCAGGTGGTGCAGGGTAAGGAATCTGCCTGCCAATGCAGGAGACGCAAGAGATGCAGGTTTAATCCCTGGGCTTGAAAGATCCCCTGGCATAGGAAATGGCAACCCACTCCAGTATTCTTGCCTGGAAAATTCCATGGACAGAGGAGCCTGGCAAACTATAGTCCATGGGGTTGCAAAGAGTCAGTCAACAATTGACTGACTGAGTATGCCTACATGCAGCACAGTCTGGGGACTATAGCAAGGTGTGAAATATACCCCAGTACTGCCGTTGGTGCCTTCGGAAGCAGCCCACACTCCACGTCTCTGGTCTTCCTTTCCTTTGTCAAACACTCTGCATCCATGTAAGGTGTCCTTCTGCAGGACATGGGCCAAAGTCTCCAGGATAAGTGAGTTCCAGTCAGCAGTAAGCCACACATGGTTAATGTGCAACACATTCTCTGGGATAGATTCAACCTTTGTCACCATGGCATCTTCAGGGCAGAGGACAACACTTAGCCCCCAGTGAGCATCCAGTACAAATCTGTCAGCTGACCTCAGTCCCGTGTGCTGAAGCTCTCCATTTATAGCACAGTAATCACAGCAGCTAACATCTATTAGAGGTTTATCTTATCCTAATCATCATAGCAAACACTCTACTGACATCACCCCATGGAACCCTCCACCCAAGTGATGAGAGTTTGGCCATTTCTGTCTTGAAAGTGTGTTAGATGCTCATTTGTGTTCTATTCTTTGCAGCCCCGTGGACCACAGCCCGCCAGGCTTCACTGTCCACGGAATTCTCCCAGCAAGAACACTAGAGTGGGGTGCTATTCCCTTCTCCAGGGGATCTTCCTGACCCAGGGATCAAATCGCGCTCTCCCGCATTGCAGCCAGATTCTTTACTAACTGAGCCATCATCTTAGACACAAGGAACCCAAAGTGCCGGAAGATTCAGTTTCATGTTTGATGCCTCCTGCCAGTAGGTGGCAGGACCAAGATTCAAACCCAGATCAGCTGACCTCCTTCTTCAGAATGACCTCACTCTAACGCTTCACTTTGATTTTCATCCTGGACATTGAGAAGTCCACAGTAACCGCAAATGCTCCTTCTCAAGAAGGAAGAGGGAGGTACTTCTGCAGTGGGAATTGTCATCTTGTGCACCTCCTTGCGGCAGCTTCATTCAAGGGACCTGTGACTTCCCTCATTCTGAAGTCTGAAAGTCACTTCAGGGGCTTGGGTCCTGCACTAGGCACTAGAGATGGATGCAAGTTTGTGATTCTAGCTGTCCAAGAAGCACAGGCTGGTCGGGTGTCGGAGGGGTAGAGTGGAGATGAAAAGACTTACAATGTCAGTGCAACGTGGCATTCAGACTTCTGAACACTGCCAAGCTGGCATCGCCAAGCTGGCACTGAACAGGGTGGGGACATTGCAGACCCTGCCCTCCAGCACCTTACAATCTGTCTGCCCCTCAACTGCCTAGATGCTGGGTAGTCTTGAACTCGATCACAGGGTCAAGACCAAATGTGCTGGAGGCATGCAAATGGAGTGAGATCATTGCAAGTTGAGGTCATTGCCACCCTCTAGGAGATGAAAGCAAAAACAGCCCTGACAGATGCCCTGAGTGTCCCCATCACTTCTAAGTGGTTCCCTGGAGACAGTTATTTAGGGGAGTTGGGATGGTAAAGGCTGCCACGGCCACATCTGTACAGCAGCCCTAGGCTAAGGACTCCCCACGGCTGCTTTTAAGATTCCATGGTCCCACGTCAGTAAGAAAACCTCAGGAGAAGACCACCTCAGTCAAGGGTGCATGAGGCTGGACCCCGGTGAGTGGCCCTGGGGGTTGCTGAGGTTCAGTGAGGTTGAATGAGCATCTTGAACTTGACTCTGATTTTGAAGAACATGAATAAGCAACTTTAACACTCTGAAGGATAATTTGTAGTAGAAATAGCCTGGAGCTCTTTTTCCAGGAGGACCACAAGGGCACACCCTCTTCTCAGAGCCCTGACCAAGGCCCAGGGGAGTTCTCCCAGCCTTCTCTGAACCAATTTTCTAAAGTACTCTGTAATTAATGCCTCCCAGAAGAGATCTTCTGCTTGTCACTGAGAAGAGAAAAATAAAAGCATTCCTGCAACTATTTTATACCTTGGGCAGGGCAGGTTCATTTCTAGCCATCTCCAATAAAGTACCATGATGTGGGTAATAATAGAGGCTCATATTTTACAAGATAGCCCATCAAGTTCCTTCAAGCACGCTCATCACTTTTTAAATGCAGAGGCAGAGTCCACATAGAGTTTGCAGGAGACGTTATTGCTATTAATAGAGCAGTATGGGCTTTTTATCCCCCTGTGGAATTTCTGCAACAGAATTGCTGTTAGTTCTTTATGGCATCTGGTATTTTGTTGTTGTTCAGTCGCTCAGTTTTCTCTGATTCTTTGCAACCCCATGGACTGCAGTGCAACAGGCTTCCCTATCCTTTACCATCTTCCAGAGTTAGCTCAAGCTCATGTCCATTGAGTCGGTGATGCCATCCAACCATCTTATCCTCTATTGTCCCCTTCGTCTCCTGCCTTCAGTCTTTCCCAGCATCGGGTTCTTTTTCCAATGAGTCAGGCTCTTTGCATCAGTGGCCAAAATAAGGGTATGGAGCCCCTTGAGGATAAACTGTTTCTCTACTCCACTGTTTGGTTCACTCACCAAATATTTATTGAGCAACTACTAAATGCAAGACACTCAAAGAAATGCTGGAGAAAACTGACTCTCCCCTCTCATGGAGCTGGCATTCTTGTGGGGGAAATAAACCCAAATAAAATGATAAATGTTTGTTAAATATAATTTGGGATAGATGCTGAGGAAAGAATAGAAACAAGAAGTGACTTATATTAAGGGCAAGGTGTTTTATGGGCTCAGGCTCATGAAGGACCTCACTACAGAGAGAACTTTCATACTGCATCTGGAAAAGAGCCAGCCTTGCAAAGGGCAGGAGATCTTTCAAGCTTGTGCAAATGTCCTGGGGCAGATGAATCACAGTTGAATTGGAGAAGCTGAGAGAGAAACCATGGGACTGCAGTGTGATAAGTGAGAGGGAAGGGACTAGAGGTGGGGGGTAAGGGTGGGCAAGCCAGGTGCACCCCTCTCTGCAGAAGGGTGACCTGTCTTCTCCATTATTCTACCTGGCTTCACTGAACAACTCAACACAACAGACCAGTGCCTGACTCCTCCCCTTCTCCCCTACTTAGCACCCCAGGAGCACTATGCTGAGCCTTGAAAGGAAACTGGTGACACAGGGAACCCAAAGCCAGCTCTGTGACAACCTGGAGGATAGGGTGGGTAGAGAGGGAGGTTCAGGAGGGAGGGAACACATGTTTCCCTTTGGCCAATTCATGTTGATGTATGGCAAAAAGCATCACACTTTTGTAAAGTAATTATCCTCCAATTAAAATAAATAAATAACTTTAAAAAAAAAATAAGAAACACCCAACACACTCTGGCCACCCTCTGCTTTGTTCCAGCAGTTTCCGCAGTGAGGAAGAAGCAGACGCCCCCCAAACAGGGAGTGGGTGATGGTCCCCCAGCACACAGGTTCTCCCACCCCATGGAGCCAACCCAGGGTGGCTGCGCTGAGAATGCTGCCACAGTCGTTGGTAATAATTGTTGCATTAATTGGTGCTGTCCAGACCAGACAGCACGTAAAAGATCCCACTGTGTCCAATAATTAATGTTTTTCCCTCACTGCAAACGCCATTAATAAGGGGCTCTTCCAAGAAACGAGTAATTGGCTGGTGGGGCGTCATTAGGGTATTTATAGATAAGCTTTGGTCTGGAGACGTAGAGGAAAGCTGATTATGTTTATTTAGACTCTATTATCTATTGCTAATGTGTTATCCTGCGTTCCGATCGTCCCCATTCTCTGGGTCCTAATGATAGAGGGCACACGCACAATGTGATTTCAATGACCTGCAGCCCAGCCTTCTCCCGGTCGCTGGGGAGAGAAGGGGATGAAGGGGGAGGCTATTCACAGGTTCTGCTAGCTCCCGCTCATCCGCTGTGAACCTAGCCTTTCCGCCAAGAAATTTAGAGGCAGGCGCTCGGAAGTACCAGGAAGACAGTTTCTCCTAATTAAACCTCAGAGGAGTGGAAGTTTCTTGGGTTTGTGATTATCTGAAGGGTTTTTGAAAATGTAAATCTGGTCGGGAAAACGTTGCTTGGAAATATAGAGGGAGGGAAGAGGCAGCCTGAGTTTGAGACGCTCGATTGGTGTAAGGAGTGATAAGTAAAGTCTCAGCGAATGAGCAAATCTGGCAGAAATACACATCTCACTAGACAAGCAGACCTGCATACAAGTGCTCCCTGGACCCCGGGAAGGGGAGCTGGGGGCATGCGGGGCTGACTTTTCTCCCAAAAGCCTTTGATCCATTTGTTCTTTGCTAGAATTTTCAGAAGAGATTTCTTACCTTTCATGAAAAAGTATAGATATGTGCAACAGTGGGAATAGACTGGATGCCACTGGACTCTATTGATACGGTTAAAAATTATTTAAACAAAACATTTTATGGTATGCATGTTTTATCACAATAAAAACAATGACTAGGAGAAGAAACAGAATATTTTAGAGGCAGAATATAAAAGCGTAAGAAAGAATGAGGGTTCTAATTTGCGACTGTATTAGTTTCAGAAATAAATGGACTTCTAAATGGTCCCCTCTGAGTATGCAATGACCACGTTTATTTTGTAAACCTTAACATTATGAATAATAATTCAAGGCAATTAATTTGTCAATGAAATGAGCTGAATTTGACACAACTGTCCAGTGAACTCAATATTACTCATTTTTACAATTTGCTGTTTCACTGCTTCTGTGGACAGTTCCTTGTCCATTCCTGGCTGTAATCTCACTTAGGATCCCTAGCTTTCTCTGTGACTCCTATATAGTACCCAAGGCCATTAAATAAATTTTGTAAATTATAGTTAAGTAAGTCCTTTTAAAATCTACTTTATATATAGTAGTGTGTATATTACTAGTAGTGTAGTAGTGTGTATATAATCCTATACTCCTAATTTATTCCTCCCCCACCTTTTCTCCCCTTTGATAACCATGTTTGTTTTCTGGGTATATATGTTTCTATCTTGTAAATAAGGGCATTTACTTTGTAGCACACAGAACTACACTCATTATCTTACAATAAATTATAATCTGGAAAAGAATTTATATAAATATGTATTGTAAAACTGAATTACTTGGCTGTAACCTGAAACTAACACAATATTGTAAATTAACTATACTTCGATAAAGACTTTTTGAACTGTAGCCAGATGTATATATGCAACTACACTCTAAAAATTAATATATAACACATATCACCCCCATTCCATCTCTCACTTCATTGGGCGGTGGGGAAAAAGTAGGGTTAGGAGTCTGGAACCTGGGTTCAAACTCAGACTCTGCCCATGTCACATGGTCTGTAAGAGGTAAAAAGACACCTGACCTCATCCAGCCTCAGTTTCCACACCTGCGAGATGAGGGTCCGCGCATGCGCATTTGGTGGGGGGGCTTTCCTAGGAAGAAGTGAGATGGTGTCTGTCAAGGCACCCGTTGGGCCCTTGCAGAGATGAAACAGGCCCCTCAAATATCCACCTCTCCCCATCTGCCTTGGTTCGTGTGAAAGAATCTGACACTCACAGGCCTCCCTGCCTTCTCTGTGAAGGACACACTCTGGATCTCTGACCTGCCTCCGGCTCTGAAATAAGCTCCCAGAAAGTTGACCTATGCACAAATGTGTGATGTAACTTTGCAAATTAAGTGTGTAATGCTTTTAGGAAAGCACTGCCCTTTTCTGGCCTGCTCCCCACCCCTGGGACCAGGTAATTTGTGGGCACATCTGTTGCAGGTGTTGGGGAATACTTTCAGAGATATTCTTAGATCTTGGCCAGGGTCGAAAGGTGGAGAAGCTGGCTCCTGGGACGTAATGATGCCTGCAGCCTCAGTCAGGTGAGAGGAGTGAGGCAGGTAGGGCTGCGGGCAGGGCTGGGCCTGGGCAGAATTAGTGGGCAGCTGGGCAAACAGGGAAGCCCCAAAGAACTGCTCTCAGGGACAAGAAAAGGAGATGAGTAACCCCCAACCCAGAGCTTCCCAGGTGGCTCAGGGGTAAAAAATCTGCCTGCCAATGCAGGAGACACAGCTTCGATCCTTGGTTTGGGAAGATCCCCTGGAGAAGGAAATGGCAACCCATTCCAGTGTCCTTGCTTGGGAAATCCCATGGACAATGGAGTCTGGAGGGCTACAGTCCATAGGGTCTCAAAAGAGTTGGACACAACTTAGCGACTAAACAACAACAACCCCCAACTTAAGCACAGAGATATCTATTTATCAGATATCACTTACCAGATGTGACCTGGCCCAGGAAAGCAACTTAACCCCTG